TAATCATGTCACTTGATTCAATGGTTGTCATAAATCATAATAGACTGGTTTTCTGCTCTAACATGTCAAGGTGTTGTATGCATGTTGATTTGACTTTTTCCATTATCTGGAAGTTTTGTGTATAGGAGCTAAAACTTGATATTGAATATAAGGAATTGAGTAATTACAAGTAGTTAATCATCTCACTTGATTCACTGGTTGTCATATTAGCCTTGATTTTCTGAGTCTGACATCTTGAGGTGTTGTAGACACTTTGGTTAGAAAAAAGGTTTGAAGTTGGAGAAAACATGCCCCATGTAAGGTCATAGAATACCGCTAATGAAATTGGAGCAATAGGAGAAAGGAAACATGGTACTACCATAAATCTCAACAACCAATTATACATTAAGGTGACAATCCTGCTAGAATTCATGCTCACAAATGCAACTGAAAATGAGAAATGTATGTCTTTAAAATTGACAAGTTAATGAAAAATGAAGTCAATTTGTTTCTGCTTCAAATTTCTCTGGTTTTCTTCTTTGAAGTTACCTTTGAATATAGTAGGAGTGGTTGGAAAGGATAGAATCATCATTTACCACTACCAGTTTTGCCTCAGAAATGAGTATAGTCTGAAAACAGAAGAATAAGATGAGTGACATGTGAATCTGCAATTTGGAAGTAAAAAAGAATGGCAAGGAGATCATCAAGTCTTTATAGGATGTGACATATTTTAAGAGAAAAAAGTATCAACAACTCCAAATTTCAGATTATGTTAGTCTCAGATCAATTGATGTTGCATTAAGGATACATTTGATGTCACTGTTTTCTTAACACTAAAGTATGATAACCCATGGAATTTTAGGTTCATAAATACCAACCACTTTGTTAGTCTTCTAAAATAAAAGGTAATAAATAAACTTCAATTTTCATTCACTCATGTAGATTACAATACAGATGACTTTGATTTGATAAACACTCCACCCAAATGTGGGTCTAAACTGAATAATCTAATAAAATCCCAAAGGAATTGCCACACACAAAATTAATTGCAAACTATTATTAGGTACATCAATAGGGGGCAACAGCAACTTAGTAGTGTTTAAGAACAGCAAATCCTAGTGCAATCAATACAACAGAAGGTAGGAGAGTGTAAGATGAGTTGGCAGATGATGGAGTCAGATCAGATCGACCGCTTCGGGTGGTTGCGGATGATGGAGTTGAAAGAGGAGGGATTGTTGTATCAGTCTGTGGTGCTAGAGAAGGTGTTACTGGTGAGGGGAGTACAGAAGAACCTGTTCAGATAATGGAAGATATTAGTATCACATTTGAGAAGCTCTTAGTACTACTCAAATTGTCATTATGAAAGCCTTAAAATATGAAAGAGATGGAGTAAGTAATACCTTCAGGACTAAGAGAGGGAGCAGATACAGGGGAAAGAGATGTTCCAAGAGATGCTGGTCCTGCCATCATTCAAAAGATTAGTTAAAATGGAAAATATTTATGCTTCATACAACAATGTTAAATTGAAGGACTTAATTGGTACTTAAGTCGTTAGAATGACATGATTGGTGACAATAAACTTTCAAAGGACTTAATTGGTAAGATGTGTTATTACCTGGAGCAGGAATTGGTGAACCTGAGGCTGCAAAACAAGATATGCATAAAATAACACATCTTAGCCTTATTGATACATAGACTAAAAACAAGTTTTAATAACCAAATGGAAATTTTTTAATTAAAGAAATATACTTTTGCATTGAACTGGAACACCAGACATTTTGCAAGCACGAGGAAGAGAGATAGCCAAGGTTCGGTTGATTGGTATTTTGAAGGGAATGTTGGCAGTGACAACAAGACACAAACAGTCCATGCCACCACTTGTTAGGGACTTGATGGAATTGCAGCACTCAGCAGTTGGTGAAGAATTACCATTAGCACTGCTATTTGTGAGGAAACTAGAACAAGGGGTGAAGAAAGTGTTTAACACTGATGCATTACATGGTGTGCTGATCTGTGCGTAAGCCGGTGCAACAATGAACATAGCAACGACTAATGCCAGAGCTACCCGTCGGAGAGGCACAAAACACTCCATGTGTATATGTTCTAACAGTTTTGGCTTGTTGCTTTGCTAGGAATATGAATGATGAAGAGAATGTGATGTTTCAAAAAGTAGAGAAGAAAAATGGTTTTGGAAGTTAGATGGTTTGAAAGGAGCATGCATGATTAGGGAATTTATAGAAAGAGGGTATGAAGAACAAGACAGGACAGGAGTGGAGGGAGAAGAATGAGAGATTTCAAAGTTGGTTTAAAAGCTCACCAACCATAACTAAATGAGATTAGTTTGAAGTTGTTAGCATGAGTCTTTGTGAACTCTGTAGAACCCATTTTCACTCTTCATTTTTTATTCCAAGACTGTCTGTCATCCAAAGCATCCTATCTTAATATGGTGTCCATTGTCCAACAATGTATTTTTCATAATATATTTCTGATATATGTACATGAAAAGTAAGAGATAGAGATAAAGATTTAGAATATTAAATATGATATTCAATATTTGATGTTAAATATTGCAAATAGGTCAATATTATGGTTTGGATATCAAAATATATGCACATGTAATTTTTGTTTTCAGATTATTATTCAGATGAAAAGTGCACATTAAATTATTAAATTCTTTAATAGAAATATGATGAGAGAATGGCATAACTTCCTGGTTGTATAAATGTTTCATTAATATTGTCCCTCCACAAGACACTTGGTTATTTATTCATGTTAGGTCACGTTTTAATACATTAGAGAAAAAGTTGGTTATCTGCATCATAACCAAACTGAACTGTCTTATATAATTTTCCATTTATGCATGTAGATGCAAAAAGTTGGTCACCTGCATAACCAAACTCTATAATTTTGCATATTATAAAACAAGTGTCCCAGATTCCAAGTCCGAACATCTTAAAATATAAAGTAGGAGTAGTTGTTTACCAACACCACCTTTCCTTTGTGACTTTCTTTCTGTACAAAAGGCATATTCAACTCACCATCCTTCTCCACCCAGTGTTACTATTACCATATATCAAAGAGGAAGAAGAATGAAGATGGGTTTGATTATGGTGGTAGCGGCCATGCTGTGTGCAGGAGCTGCAGCACAATCAAGTTGTGTGAATATGTTGGTTAGCCTGTCCCCATGCCTTAACTATATAACAGGAAATTCTTCAACCCCATCTTCAGGATGTTGCTCACAGCTTTCCACTATAGTACGCTCATCCCCCCAATGCCTTTGTCAGGTTCTTAACGGAGCTGGATCATCATTGGGTATCAACATCAACCAAACTCAAGCTCTTGCATTGCCTGCTGCTTGCAAGGTTCAGACCCCACCCACCACTCAGTGTAATGGTAAGTAACATATATTCTAGTTAAGTCAAATTTGAACCTATACAATATACTCCATATCCTTATGGTAACTTAGTGAATGTGTTTGTGTCAAAACAGCTGCTTCACCAGCAAGTACACCAGTGGGAACAGGAACACTAGCAGACACACCAGCAGACTCTCCAAATTCAGTTCCATCAGGTACAAAATGCCTCATTCAGCAAGTATTTTACTCCATACTTCACTGTTTTATTATCCATGTTAACCATTTAAGTTTCCATTAAATTACAGGAACCGGATCCAAAACTATACCCACAACAGAGAATGGCTCATCTGCTGGAAGTTCCATCAAGTTATCCATTCCTCTATTACTTATTATGGCAGCAACCTATGTTAGCACATATTGATTCGTTGACCAAATGGCCTCCATTTTATAATGCTAGTTTTTGGTTATTGTCCTTGTTTTCTTCATATGTTATTGAGTTCCCTTAAGCTGAATTCATTTTTGTATTATGTACTGGGTTACATGCTTTTGTATCATGAGATATTTACTCTATAATATAATAAAGATTGATTGTAACTTGTGGTTTGCTATTATAACTTAGCAGCTAACAATATTGAGATTTTCCTCTCCTCCCATGCAAACAAGACTCTTTAGACACTGGGAAGACAATCAACTATCAACTCAAACTCATCAGTGAAGCTAAAATTTACTTGCAATGTCAGAAAATATGCTTAACAACAACAGTAATAACAACCTAGTTCCTATATTAATAACATCTCCAATGTTTCTAAGTTTCATTTAGCACTTAGCAGGATTACAGTTAACAGGAACAAACTGTCTAGTGTTAAGCATCCAAAAATGTGCATGGAAGTATGGAACCATTGCCTTTAGGTTTGGTTCAAAACATGTTATCTCACTAGTGGCCTTTCACTCTTCCTGTGTCCGATAACAGTGGAATGACAGTGTTTGGGAGTATCAGTCATGAATGAAGGTCCCACATGGCTTTGTTTCTCCCTTTTTTGAAGTGGCAAGCAAAAGAGAACTCCTTTAATTAAACACCCATCTCAAGACCATGATACAGAATATATCACCTATTACTTTTAACTATATTCTCCAAAATGAATAACTGCCTCCATCTATGTTTAGTTTGCTCCAATCAAAATGTTAATCATTAATTATGTAACTAGTTGTGCAATAACATTTACCTTCATGGTTAAGTGTAGAGTCAGTGTAATGAACAAGATTAAGCAAAGACATGTTAGTGTTAGGAGTGGTAAGAAAGATATATAGGACTGAAAAGGGAGCTTTGCAATTCCCTTAACATATGCTAAAAGTGGCAGTTGCTTTTGCATCACTAATCCACTAAACTTTTCTTTGATTTGAAACCATTTACTATATCAATGAGACAAATGGGCCCTATTTACTCTTATCAACTTTCCTTTCCTTTTCATTTTCCAACAATAATATGTACTCCATATATGTTTGAGTTGAGAGAAATCAATAACACCACATATATGTGACAGATAATTTTGGCACTAATAGCATCTCCAATAAGAGATATATAAAGGTTGTATAGAGGTATGCATTTGTCTGTAAAGCTTGAAAGAGGCATTGCAAGTGGGACACAACATTACACAAAAATGAAGGAGATGAGGGGAATGCTGTCTGGTTTGAGACCATTCTTCTGAAGCCAAAAACTCGATAGAATGATTTCGGACCAGGCTTCATTCCCCCCAACTCAAGGTGATGATGCTATCCAACAATTCATTGATGATTCAATAGGACAAATAACATGTAAGAGTTCTTTTTTCTTCATATTCTGATGCTAGCCTATCTATCTGCTACCATTCCAAACATGACTGATTTTTGGATTCTATTGATTTTGTTTGGTCATGCATAGAGGAAGTTACATTCATCAACCTTCCTATGAGGGTGATGGATGAGTATTAATTATCTCTTCTTCTACAATTACTCAGATCATACTCTTTTAATACAAATACAAATACAATGACTATCCTTAAATCCAATGAATATGTGAATATTATTGTGATTATCTATATATTTTTACTAGATTAATTAACTTAGCGTATCTACATATAAAAGGAATGATAAAGAATATTATAATTGATGTAATAATTCATTTATTTGTTATACACTATTGTTTATTATATATATAAATGTAGAGGGATTGTTTCACACTGTGTTTATGAAGGACGGAAAAAAACATTTAATATATTAAAAAATATATATTTTTATAATTATTTTATTTTTTAATGAGCATGTGAGTATTTGACTGATAAAAAAAATAAGTAATAAGATATGTCACTTTTGCTCTTCTTATTTAAAAGAAGATTAGTAAAAAATTCAGTTGTCTCTCCATTATTAATAATAGATAAGAGTGAAAGTGCATGCTCAAATTTGTTGTCTTCCATTCTCATCTGAGTCTTGTCACTCCTTTTGGTTTTCTGAACCTTCCACTTTTTAAATAATACTATAATATATCTCTCATCAATTCTAACACCAAAACGACACAGTTTTCAGTTTATAACGCCGGGCAACGATGTGCAATCCCAACAACAAGGTTTTCTAGATACACCCATGTCAATTTTTCCCACTTTGGATTTTTGTTTTGAATAATTTTATGTACATGGTTTGTTAGCTTCCTCCAATTACTATTTCAAAAATTTAAATAGTTATTAAATTCTGGGTTTTGAGATGAATACATTGGGAAAATTCATTGCTTGCTGGTTCTGATAGTGTGAGCTAATTAAATGTCTTGACGGATTAGGATTCCATTTTGTCTGTGGAAGGTTTTTTGCAATTTGTAAAGGTTTCCTTTTTTATTTTTATGGTCTGTTTCCTCACTTCATTCTGTATTTCCAAAATTGCAATTGCTGTAAGATACTGGGTTTTGGGACAAGTGTTTAATGGATTAGTACTTGTGTAGTGTTTTGATTGAAAAAGTTGGGGCAATATTTGTTTAATGTGGTTTGAATGTTTGCAGTATTGAGAAGGAGTTTACGGATGCTAGGACCTCAAGTTAGAGTCATCACAATGTTCAGGAGAACATGTTGAGAGATAAAAGGGTAATTCACAATATGTTCTTCCTCTTCTTTTATTAATATCCATTTTCGATTTGTTGTTGTTTTGAAGATGTAAAACAGCAGCCGCATTTGAATCACACTATTTTCCGATGAACTGGAAGGATGAGGGGATTAAATATGATAACATTATTCCTGACAAGTTGCCATAATTCTTGTTTTTTAACAATGATGATGAAAAATCATGTGAGTGGAAGATTAGAGACACTGCCATCTTTAAACCAAAATTCAGGCATGTCTGAATATGATTTGTCACGTATGCACATTGGTATGAATATGATTTGTCACATATCCACACAGTATAGAAAAAGATAAATACTAGTCTCTAGTCACTAAACATAAAAAATATGCTTCACGAGTATGATAAGAATAGTAAGATAAGATAAAGACTGATGCAGCTTGTGTTTGTGATAGATTATTTGTGTTGGTCCTATGCAGTAACATAGTAAGACTTTAACATTGGAGGGATCCTTAACTTTGTTAAAAGACTTAGTGAGACCTGAATTCTGGTTAGTGAGAGTCCGAGTTGGAGGTTTAATTTTTATTTTAACTTCTGCTTCATTTGGATTAGGTATCATCTGGATCTGGAAAGGAGTTTGTCAAATATTCTGTGATTGAGAACACTAATATGAGACTCGAATCTGGAACTTGTAATGTGTGCTCAGCTCCTTGTTCATCTTGCATGCATCTTAACCATGCTCTCAAGAGACCAAAAGCTGAAGATTTTTTTGATGAAAACTGTCGCGTAGGGGAGGCTAATAATAACCACTGTTCTGTGGACGAGGGCAGTGTATCTTCTCTTAGGAGCAAAGCTTGTGAAAGCTCACAGCATGCTATCAGTGAAACCAGTAACATTATTGGCATTACTTCAAGTCATGATTCTCTATCTGAAAATGCCGAGAGTGGACAGACCTTGTCAAATAAGTACAAAGACTCCAAGTCTGTAGAAGTTCCTGATGAGAACAATTCTTGTATTAGTAGAGCAAGTTATACTTATTTATTGAACAATAGTCAAGCAAGGAGTAATGATGTAGGTAGTAGCCAAAGGCTGTATGTACAGTCTCGAAGTGATAAATTTCTCTCAGGTGATCCCAGCTTAATGCATCGGGAAAGGGACTTGTGTTCTCATGTCCCAGAAATGTCAGAATGCTCTGTTGAAAATTCTAATTCATCATTGACCAAAAAGAGGGAACCTATTGTTGATTTTGGTGAGAAATCTATTGCCAATAAGGATAGCCTTGTCGACTGTACTGCTGAGGTTTCACCAAAAGTATGTTCAAAGTCAGAAGCAGATAGTGACAATGATGTTTGTGATGTTAAAGATGAAGATCGTGATGGTTCAGTCCGTGATAGACAGCATGAGAAGACTGAAGAGCTGGTCAAATCACCTGGCGGGCAGGAGCCTCAATCTGAACATGAGAGTGATAGGTCAGATCCTATGGAAAATGATGTGAGTATCTTTGCTTTCTTCATGTCAATTTTTTTTTTTGCTGAAACTAAATTTGATAGATATGAAAATGATAGGAGTGGAATGTAACCATGTCTGTGGAGATGCTTAACTTCAACTTTCATTCATGATTTCATTGACTGGAAAATAGGTACAATCGTGTGACATTTGTGGAGATGCTGGCCGTGAGGATCAACTTGCCATATGTAGTAGGTGCAGCGATGGTGCTGAGCACATGTATGCATAAACCCTTCTCACCTTTTTTCTTATTAGCTTCTATCATATTGTTACAATTTCCTTTCACCCTTATTTCTTTGAATCAGCTACTGCATGCGAGTAATGCTCCAGAAGGTCCCAGAAGGGGACTGGTTATGTGAAGAGTGCCAATACGAAGAGGATACCGAAAAGCAAAGGCAGGGTAAGAGTGAAGTTTTGTATATTATATTTCTTAAAAAGAAAAAAAGTGCTCTTGCCGAAATTCTACTCCCTTTTATGCTTCCTTTGTGTGCATAAAAGTTTGTCTTTGGAGCCGAGTTTTCATGTTTTTGATGTTGAGGTTAGCATAAGTATTCAAGCACACATATGTATCTATGTCTGTGCCTGTATGCTGAGACATCTGCCGATTTAAATTGTGTTTCAGATGTTGAAGAAAAAAAGTCCCTTAAAGTTAGTTCAAGTTCACAAGATTCTAGGAAAAGAATTTCTGAAAACATAGAAATAGCTCCAGCGGCAAAAAGGCAAGCTCTTGAATCAAGCTCAACATCGCCAAAGATGTCAAGCCCCAAGAAATTAGCTCAGCTGTCGCGAGAGTCTTCATTTAAAAGCTTAGATAAGGGAAAAGTGAAACCTTGTCACAAGATGCCTACTCGTAACCGCTCTGGTAGTGATGACAAAGAAATTGCTCGTTCTCTTTCCATTGGTCCTCGGGATCAACCTTCAAAGAGTGTGGATTTCTCTTTCATCTATTGTGCTTCACCTCAGATGGGTTCCTTTATGATTTTATATCATTTTCTGTAGGGTTTCAGTTATTTCAAGCTCCTTTTTTTGTTCTTATTAATAGGTACATTGTTGAAGTCTAGTTCATTCAACAACTCAAATTCCAAGCCAAGAGTCAAACTCCTGGATGAAGTTGCTCCCCCAAAACCAAAATGGGGTGGTGAACATACTTTTAAGCCGACGGAGATGTCTGCGAGGATGACAAGCAAATCAACATTACTCAAATCCCCAAGTTTGGGCCATTCAAATGCAACTGAATCAAAAGTGAAAATGATTTCGCCTACTAAGTCTGCAACTTCTCAGGAGTTGAAAGGATCAAGACATTCAAAAGAATCAGGTGGATTTGACAGAAAGCTTCTATCTAGGATTGATCGGTCTGTGGCATGTTCATCAATGGCTACTTCTGTTGTTTCCACACCGAAGGGTGATCAGAAGCTTAAACCTCGTGGTGAAACCATTGAACCTTCTGCAGTTAACAACAATCGAGATTTGAAGGATAACTTGGATGGGAAGTTCAGTATATTGTCAAAGTTAACAAGTAATATAAGCCGTAAAAGTTTGGAGCCTCAAGTTAGTTCAGGTGAGATCTCGATCAAATCATATTATTGCTGCTGTAGTGTTTTCTTTTACCATCTTTTTTGAGTCAATTTGTTATTGATATTTCAGTATCATTTTAATAATGCCATCATCTATGTATTTTTTTCCCTTGTTTTATTTTCAATAGGAGCGTCTTGCATGATGGAATTTGTGCTAGTAGTTATTTCATATGCAAAGGTTATTTCTTATTTAGTTATTCTTTGAATTTTACAGAGACAATGTCAACCAGCGTTGATGAAGCTCTACAGGAAGTGCTGCCTCAATCACCAGAGACAGAAAATCAGGATGAGAAAACTAGAGATAGTTCTCGTAATCGTATGACATTGGCTGTTACTGCTGCTTCAAAAAGCCGATTCTGCCACAAATGTAAGGAATTTGACCATTCTACGGAATGTTGCACAGCTGGTAGTACAAATGAACCTGGTGCTGAGCTATCTGTGTGTAATTCAAAAGAGGAGATGCATAAAGGTAATAAATTGAAAGAAGCAATCCAGATGGCTTTACTTAGAAGGCCTGAAATTTACAAGATGAAAGAAGTACCGAGTCAAACTGACGAGCTTTCTACGCTGCGCACAGATCCGGATTGTGAAGTCAGTT